AAGGGAGGCAAGCTGCTTTTCCATTGATCTCTACCCTGTGCATAACTCTCTAAATCTTGTGTCTGAGACGTCATAGCTTTTCTTTCAGGTGGTTGATAAAAGCAGTAAGCGTGAGGACAAAAATTAATGCTGGTGGGGCCTCCTACTATATTTTATTAGATCATAGTTATGTTGAAACTTATGGGCTAGTGTATTATAATTTGATTAATAATCATGTTTCTTTCTGTATACGTATTTCTTCATTAATTTAGGATACGATAGCAAGTCAGAAAGCCTAGAGAAGTCACAGTGCTTTTGCTTCAATGCTTTTTTTCCTTCTCTTTTCCATATGAACCTGTAATCTCATTAACAAGATGGAGTCTGACAATCCAGTCTCTCTGTAAACCACCTTACTGCTTCTTTATTCATTATCAAAGTAGCTGGTATGGTACTTTATCTGAACTTGTTGTCAAACTTACAGGATCATATGGATCATCTCATCCACCTTCAAAGTTCTCCAAGTGTTCTGATTTCTTTCAAAAATCAACATCACTTCTCAGACTTCTTAGCTAGCTCTTCCAAAATCCTTGGATACAAATCGTGAGATTCTTCTGATCTTAAGTAACGTCTGATGGCCGTTCTTTTATTGCGGTATTCAGTTACAGTCAAGAAGTCAGATGACATTTCCTGTGCTAAAACAAGTGTGTGTGTGTGTATATATATTTAGTGAATGCTTCTGCCTTCTCTGGGTGATGATTGGTACACTTACAGGGTTTTGTTCAATGTTTGACCTGAGCTATTTTTGAAATTTCAAGGACTCCTTTTCTTCGGGGTAAATTTAAAAAACAAAACGCATTGTATTTTGTTAGACTCCTTTCTTTGATTCCCTGAGTTTTTCTGATTTGGTCCTTGAATGTTCATTTCTATCTTCTACTGTCTCCCATTAGGTAATGTTCATGCAGTTCACTGATGAAGAAAGGAAGCTGTCTAGTAAAATAGTTAATAAATACCATTTTTACACTTTCTCCCCTGAATTGACTCATAATTATTAGCTTTTTGTGAAATTAACCTTTTTAAAAATGTGGAAGGGAAAATAATTAGAAAAATGTCATCTAGCACTGTGATTTCTACTGCTGACAGTGTATTCCCTCAAGCATATGTTGCTTACACTGAAGACTCTCAGAGCAGCTGATGACCTCCTCCTTCCTTCACATGCCATGAATCTAAGAAGCCAGGTGTTTTATTTCATAGCCTAATCTGATGGTCGGCATCAGATCCTAGCAGATAACTTTTCTTGTGTTTTTTGTTAAGACATTTGTTTCACAAAGTATTCAGATTTTTTTTGACCTTCTCAACTATCAATGACTGAAAAAAGCTGATGCAGTTCTGATAGACTTCCATCCCCTTCTGGTCACACATTTCTCTAGATAGTTGTGTCAGCTGCTGGTTGTAACTTATTAAAATTGGCAGGGGCTAGATTCAGCACTGTAGGGTTTCCACAGAAGTGACTTGTTGACTGTATTGAACATTGAGCAAATCAAGATGAAAGAGTGTGGAGAAGCCTGAGACTTGGGAAGGGGAGAAGTAGTCAGTATTGACTTAATATTGAGCCATATCTTAATAGGGAGGTGACACTGAGAATTAAAACAGATCAATGAAGATATTTGAATTAAGTGGAGACAGACAGCTACATGACCTCAGACATTGTAGAGAGTGTGTTGTAGGTCTGTGAGGTTTTCTTTTAGGACTTAAAAACAACCTAAGTAACATCTAATGGGAGGACCTGTGCGCATGCCAGCGAGGAGGAGTGTGGCAATTGGAGGAGGGAAGCAAGAGGAGGTAGGTAAAGTCAAAAGAAAGAGGAAAAGGAGGAGTTTGTAGACAGTGCAAAGGATTGAGGTTGCATTTGAAGTAGGAAGAAAGCAGCTGTAAACATCTTACTAATTCATTGTTTCTTCCCTTCAACTTCAAAACATAAGAGGAGGAAGAAAGTGTATATGTAGTCAAAAGAAAAAAAGAATCCTAGATCCCTGACTATATGTGCATTAACATGCGTTTGTACCACTCAGTCAGAAGCTAAACAGCTGAAGGGATGTAGGGCAGACGTAATTTTGGACTTTCTCCAGGCCCATTCAGTAGAAGGCGTGGGGGGAGTTCTGATTAACAGTGAAGGATGTCTTTCATGGTCTCTGAGGGCTGAAGTGAATTTTATTGACTGACAGGTATGTTTAGGCACTGGCAAAAAGTATACATGCAGTAAATTTGTAGAATGGCCAGCTTTGAGCTAGCAGTAGGAGTCTGCAGCTGGTGGGGTATTTATGTGACGAAATGCTTGTCCAGTAGCAGAATCCCTTGTCTCACCTGGGTAAACATCTGCCACTGTTTTTTTGGGGTTGCATGCCTCTTGTTCCCAAACCATACGAGTATTTAATAAAAATAACACTGATCCATATTCATTTTAGTTTAATTTGTGAATTGTATAAACAAAAGACAGAATTGAATATATTCAGCTTTTTTTTGAGTGTACAAAATTGAATTAATACTCAGCTTGAAAGGGTAAGTGGCCATTGCCATTAGGTAAAATGATGACATGAACCATTCTAAAGTTATACCAAGATACTGGGGGGAAAATAGAGCTTGCACTGATGCTCTGATAAACTGTAGTCTTGTAAGTGGAGTATGTTCTTTTCTTCCCACAAACTGATGAGTATTCTCGGCTTTCAAACCACTGACTTTACCTAATGCTCATGATTTGTCCCATATGGTCATCATGTGCTAAAGGTGGAAAGTGAGCTAGAAAGATGAGAGCATTTGGGAATTAAAATGTCTGGGTTTTGTTTCCAGTTGCACGTCAGACTTCTGGAATAACCTCTTCATCAAAAAACACACCCCAAATACCACATCATGGATGTTAAACATCAAATCAGCGTGGGGAAATGCTTTAAGGGTTTGCACGAAACGTACTAAGTGCAAATAGAAGTGTATTACAGAGTGATAGCTATTTATTTTTACTTGTGCTTCTGTCCTGGATGTTAAAAAGGTGGTTTGCCTAGATGATGGTTGTACAGTCACATGAATCTGCTTTTTTGTTACAGTAAAGCTAGGTCATATTGCCATCGGCACCAGAAAGCAGCTTCTTTTGGGCAAGTACTAGTGACTCTTCTGATGTCAGCTGTGCTGTAAAGAGCTGTTTAGTATTTTGGTATTTGGTCCTTCCTTCCTTCCTCAGTTTTTCAATTTAATGTTTTAGTTCTGTTGCAGACCTACAATTGAAGGTGTTGAGAGTATTGTGTATTTGACAATGCCTGCTTATCCACTGGGGCCACTAAGTCTGACAGCCCGAAACAAAATAAAAGGTGAAAGGGACGAGATGAAAACTGTCTAGGCTTCTCATTAAGACTTGCTGTGATATAATGCTTCTTGGTGATTGCTGTTAGGAGTCTCAGTTTGGAGGTAGCGAAGATTGTTGGAAAAGGGTGTTTGCTCTCCACTGTCTTTTATCGCACTGAGGCTAAAACCGGTATTTCCCAGTGCTGTTTAGTGAACTTCTGTATATGCTGTTTGGCTGGCAAGTCAACTCTTGCTGTCCAGACAATAAAAACTGGGATAACCATTCTGAACTCTGTATGGTCTTCTGAACCGTACATATATCTATGTAGTGGAACGAGTGGCAAAACAGGCTTGGGGCCCCTGGATGCTGCTATGATACAAATATGTATTTATTTGTATACTTTGAAAAGCAGTGAGATGTTTTACTCTTTGAGATCAAAGCTGTCAAAGATGCAAGGTGAATTTTACCGCTACGGTCCCTCAGGTCCAACTGTTCTGTAATGGAATGGAGTTGAAACTCTAACAGGCTTGTCTTTTGAAAGCTTGGAGTCCTTATGGTGTCTTTCGTGGATGGGTTTGCAAGAGCTGTTGTTTATTAAAGGAAGGAAACTGGGAGAAACATCTGGGAGGCTTAATGGTCTGTAACTTCTGGTAAAGAAACAAAGTAATTCTTGGTGTAGCCAATTAAAGTGTCGGTGCTTACACTTTTAGGCACTGAAGATTTTAGCATGTTTAGTTAGGAGCTGTTTTTCCACGGACATAAAGGAAAGTGTGTAAAGCTGACTGGCTTCTCATTTGAGCTCTGGAGAAGTTGGCCAGGTTGCTGCAGCGCCACATTGGGAAGAACCACCTGAGGTGGCCTGAAATTCAGGGTTTGCTCTTGCAGTCGAGGAGATCCCCAAGCAGATTGCAGCTCTGAAGAGTGTCCTTTGAGCAGATCTCTTGATACCAAGTACTTCAAATCTCAACCAGTATTGCTGGGGACAAGGGTTTTTTTACCTCTTAAGACTTCAGTAGTCTTGATTTTGGGAGGGTGGGGAATGAACCACATTAACAGTAATCTTGATACTCTGCCCTTGTGACCAAGGCCAAAAAAAAACCAACCCCAAAAAAGCGGGGAAGTAGGGGATTACCTTTTAAATGACGAGGCTTGTTGCAGTAAAGCAGATGTCACCTATTTATATGTGCTGAGTTAGAATGCTAATCATAGAATAGTCGGGCAAGTAAAATGAAGGGCTGCTACCAGAATTACACTTTCAATTTGTTTACAAAAAAAAAAGGTTTTCTTTATTTTCCTGGCTTCCTTCCATTTATTTCTTACAGTTATCAAAGAGGAGGGTGAATTTTTCACGCAGCTTTAGTCTGCTTCCATTTATGCTCCTCTCTCTCCCTCTGAGCAGACGTTAATCTCTCTCCATTTTTTCTTTTTGTTGTTGTTGTTTCTCTGTTTTCTCTTCAAATGTGTAAATCTGCATCTCAGCTTCTTGTGACTATTTTGGGAAAGGACTATACCTGCTGTGTATTGCTTAGCAAGTAATTGGCACCCTTTGCACTAATGTGCTTTATTTATTTTTGATTTGTTCATTTGTTTCATGGAGCAGTTGGATACATAAAAGCAAGCAATCTGTAAGAACCTAAAAGGTAACATAAGAGATGAGTAACAGTTAATGTGGATTTTTCAGGAGCAAATCATGCCAAGTCAACTTACTTTTCTTCTGGATGTTACAGGTATGGAAGAAGTAGTAGTAGATGTGTGTATCTCGACTCTGAAGTTTTCAAACTAATTTTCTCATGAGAAGCCTAGGAAAACAATGGACTACTGGAAATCCCCTGAAAGGCATACAAAATGGTTTGGTTATTTTGTTTGAGCGTCACAAGAGGTTCAAGATAAAATTAGGATGAGACATTTAACGGGTTTTTGCAGAGTCTTTAAGCAGTCTCACAGGATTCACTGTTTTTCACCAATTTGTTAGACAAACTTCATGTAGCATCGTGAAATGGATCTCCTTCTGGTGGTGACTCTGTGCTTGAAGGATGCGACAAGCTGGCAAAAGAGCATTAAGTAACCTTGGATGCAGTTCAGTTGGGACAAATGCAGAATATTAGGCTTTGATAAGAGTAATCAGGTGTGTAAGTGGAAAGTGGACGAGGATTGGACAGGCAGCAGCTCTGCAGAGGAGAGTTTGGTACACAAACTGATCATGAGTCAACCAGGTTGCAGCATTGCGCAAGCTGCAAACATTGTGCTGGGCTGTACAAATAAGTGTGTTGTAAGTTGGACACGAGAAGTCACCAGCACGCTGGGTAGAGCTGAGGTGAGCTTCCTCTGCAGGTTTTAATTTTGGGTACCGTACCTGAGAGAGGTAGTAGCAGTGAGGGCAAAGGTCCCCCAAAGAGAAATAACTTCTCCATCATGGTAACTTTCTTTGCAACAGCCTTCATGTGTTTGATGGGGGGGGGGGGAAGAGGGAAGGGGGAAGCTGTGCCATTTTCCATGCCTTCTGGGAGTGGAACAAGGAGCGATTCACGTAAACTGTACTAAAGGTGATCTGAGCTACCTGTTAGAAAAATCTTTCTAAATGCATGCGTAGTGAAGGACTGGAGGAGACTCCCTGGGGAAGCTGTGGAAGGAAACCTTCTTAATATGCAGATGTGACGGGCATCTCATGAGTGCAGTTTCTGTAGAGTTGGGGAGTGATTGCTGTGGAACAGCAGATTCTTCTGTTTTTTCTTGCAGCCCTATTCCATTCTGTAACCTGAGCCGTCGTAATTGAAGGGCAATAAATGCCCAGTGTGTGCTTGCAAAATGCCTGAAATAGGACCAAAATTTGGTCCTATTACAAACAAAAGCAGACTTTGAACAAGGGAAGCACCGTTGGTGGTAACAGTGGTGCTAAGAGTAGGTAATAGTGGCTTTGTCTTTTGATTTGAAAGTGGCTGCTTTACTGTGAGTGCATGTGTGGTTGGCTGAGGACTGCTGAAACCCACAGCCGCTGCATCTGCACATTCATCGGTGCAGCATCCACCGCGATCTTGCATCCTGAGTGCACGTCCCTGTCTGCGTTCTGGTTTGTGTCAAGATGCGAGCTAAGTGCATGTCGTAATCATCCTTCTCCCCCTTCTTCCCCCTGCCCCAGTGAGTGCCTCCCTTCTTTGCAAGGAATTCCGGGCATGGAAGAAGGGAGGAGCAGGACTGTGCCGTACAGTGCAGCCTAGGTTTCACTTCAGGTGCACACAGCCAGCTTTGACGAAGGTTTTGCTTCCTAATGCATGCAAGCTGAAGCTTTACGTGTAGGTGGGTTTGTAACAAACTTCGTCAGTGCTTCTGGTTTTTGTTGCCAGATACATACCTATAAAGGACAGAGTGCTGGTCTGTAGGCTATGCTGACAGTTTGGTTTCTTCAGTTACAGGAAAATATGGGGAAATGCTTCATTTTGGTAATACAAACAACACTGTATTTAATACTGCTTATGTTAATCAGGTGTAGAAATAAGTACTTGTCTTGGTCATACATCACATTTTATTGCTGAGCTATTTGCTCCAGGAAAGGGAATATTTTTGTTAGCAATAATCTAGATGAAAAATTGTCACCACTTAATATATTTCAGTAAAAAATACGCTCAGTGTTTTCTTTGCATTTCATCAGGGTTTTTTATTTTTCTCTATAATATTGAAATACACATGCTGATTTAAATCTTTGCTTTACCCTCTTCTGTTTCAGTCTTGTTGGTCATCTTGTTTACGCATGTATTTTGACTATTTGTGTATCTCTTGCTTCCCAGGAGACAAAGATGGCAGCAAAGTGACCACAGTAGTGGCAACTCCTGGACAAGGTCCAGACCGACCACAAGAAGTTAGCTACACAGACACCAAGGTTATTGGAAATGGATCTTTTGGTGTTGTGTATCAAGCCAAACTCTGCGATTCAGGAGAGCTTGTGGCCATTAAGAAAGTCCTGCAGGATAAAAGATTTAAGGTGAGCCTATGCATAAGTTCAGAACACTTTCATGAATGTTATCGCATTTTCCGTGTCTGATGGCAATGTTTTTGATTTTTTTTTTTATTTTTTCATTGGAGTACATAAATGCACATAAAAATTTCCAAGACTGAAGATTAAACAGATGGTTTATGATAAAGGGATATAGTTTAACTTGAAAATCACTGAGTCACTGTTATGATTATTTGGATTAGTGCAAAACAGGAAGCTAAAAATCCTGATTTGATGTTGTGGTGCTGTTTCCAGGTCGCAGACTAGATTTTTTTCAGACAATGAGCTGGGGAAACAAGGGAAAAGCTTGTCTTATGCTTACTTTTTTCTAGCATAGACTCTTCTCAAATCATTAGTAATTAAGCTGCTGGAAAGAACAGAAGCCTTTTTTGGCTTTGTTCTTTGTTGTTGCACCTACAAAGTGGAAGGCTGTATTTGAGTAATTCGGAAAGTCCCTAGGCCAAGCAAGAAGATAACAAATACTGAGCCCAGGGCAGGTTGGACTGAAGGCAAGTTACTTCCCTTTGTTATCTGATTTATAAACGTGATCTATTCCGGTGATTTTTAATAGACTAGTGATTCTTTATTCTAAACAAGTAGCCTTCCAAAAAGCTGTATTTTTATCTAGTGATATTTAAACCAAATAAAAGTTAAGGACCATCAGCAACCTCATCACTGCTATTAGTCCTCTGCTTGGTACATGGTGTGCTTGACTGCTTTCCCTTATAGTCACGTGGCCTGCAGCTAAACTTGTGCAAGCAGTGAATGATAGCAAAGGTATTGGTTTTAGCATCTGAAATTAATGGTGTGGGTTTTAGCATCTGAAGGCCACAGCTTTCATGACTATAGAAGCATAAGGACAATATATAGAGAAGGTGCCACGGATAATCTTGTTGGCGTGGTCTAGATATAAAAACTTCTGAGCTTAAAAATAGTTGAAGCATATTTAAGGAAAATCAGCAATTTGAAACTTCTTTTTTTACAATTTTATACTTACTGTTAGTTTTAGAGATACTTCTAAAGGCTATTGGATGATATATTTATTGTTTGCTTCTCAGTTTTCTTATTTTTTCAGTAAGACTTCGTGCACAACTAGCTTCACTGGTAATGTTTGTAATTTGTGTCCTGTTTTGGTAGCAAAACCATTCTTTTGAAGTGTTTTGAAGGAACTGATGTATGCCTTTTGAGTCTTGAAATTGATGCTGTCATCACCACAGGCATCAGCATATCACAGATGCGTTAGATGAAGAATGAAAGAGGAAAGATATGTTTAAATTAACGTAATCATGCAGCATTGTTTAACTTCTAGTTGAGAAAGGCGTGTAAAGTTCTTACCTTGTTCTTACATCTGAGTTACTTCTGGACTGTATTATGTGATGAAGGCAGTTAGTACTGGGGAAGCATGCAGTATGATGTAAGAGTGGATTATTTTAGAAGAATGGAGGAGGTAGAGGAATAACAGAAGCTCTAAACCTAGTCATGCTTAAAAGAGCTTTTTGATCTCTTCCTATTGCATAGTTTTAGGGGGAAGGCCAGGACATTTCCTTTACCGTGTCATGCTTGGTGGATGTCAGCTGGTGCTTTGGACCAAAATCTTTGATTTCTTTAGTCTCATGACTTTGAGGTTGTTTAGGGTGTCAGAATGAAAACGTGGCTGAGCATTTTAGTTCCTGCCCATCAGATACTAATAGTTTGTGATGTCTTAATGTTTTTTTATAAATCTGTATTGGGCATCTAGGATAAAATATAGGTCTTTGCTTTTCTTTCAGTAGTTGATTCAGTGGCATTTTGTTATCTGACTATGTATCTTTTTATTTTGGAGTGTTTCTTTAAGGGATTAGAAAAAACATGACATCTTTTGAATATTAGCCCTCTTCTTGTTTAAGGAAAAAACCCAAAAAGCTTAAATGCTAAGTAGGGTGTTTCCAGTTTGGACTCTGAACTAATTGCCCATGTATGATGACATAATCTGAGAACATCCAGTACCTGGAGGCTTTAATACCCCTAAACTAGGTGGAATTAATGGTAAGTGCATGTGTAGATTCACAGATAGATAGCATTAATTTAAAAATATTTTTTTAACTTCATAATTTGCATGGGTCACATCTGCAGTGGTACCCAAGTTATGCATTTTTTCATGTTCTTATCCCAAACTTGTATCCCAGCTGCACAACATCATCTACCTTTGGTCTCAGCTCCCTAGTTTTTTCTGTCATTCATCAGTTTAGTCCTCCCTTTCTTTTCACATTCTGATCTGGAAGTGTATGTTCTGTTGGCAGGAGGTGTAAATTCCTGCAGGCTGGATGAAAGCCTCTGCCTGGACAGATTTGGAAGCTAGAGACATGTATCTTATATCAAGAATAGCATACAATTACTTCAGGGTATGCTACTCTTTGGGAACGTCTGATCTAGGTTGTAAATGCTGGACTAGATACTTTTAAACAGGGAACTTCCAATGTCTGTTGGCCGAACAGTTTGATTGCAGCGTAGGAGCGACCAGCTCTTCTGATCAGAGAGCTGAGCTGTGGTGTGCAGCTAAGCTGGGCTGTATCCACCCCCACACGGCTGCCCGAGTCCAGATCCAAGCCCTGGTGAGTGGAGTTCCTTAAGAAATCTGCCACTTCTTCCCTCTCATTAATGTACACCCCTGCCTCGGCAATGATGAGGAAAACCCTATCGTAGACAGCCAAAGGTGGCAGTAGCTTGTTTGATTTAAATCAACTTTATCAACTTCTGGGGGAAGAGAAGGGAGCACCTTAGAAACACCTGTCTGCACTAGTCCCAGTGGTGGAGAGGCAACAACAGGAAAGTAATGCATGGAAGTTGCTTCCTGAAGTGTAGATCATCGACGAAATTTTCAGCTGTATGCTTCAAGCTGGTGCCTGCTTATCTCTATATCTTGACGGATTTATCTTGCTACACGCAGTATAATTCCTTTGTTGTGATTTAGCTCTTTAAAAAAAAATAAATAAAATGCTTTTAGAAGAACCAGCAGGAAGTCTTGAAACTTAAAGGGCATGATTCAGAAACTTTAGGAAGTCCCAAGAGAGTGTAACTTCTAGGTTCCTTCTGCATTTTGTGAATGTGGAGGGAGTTTATTGTGAAGATGTGGAAAATGCACCACAGTTGCCAATTTTTAGATCTCTGTCAAGAAGTTGAGATACTTTTATTCAGGTTTAAAGCTAGCTTGAAAGCTGGAATTAACAGAGGGGGGTTGTCTTTTTTCTTTTTTCCTTTTCCATTACAATGACGAGTTGCTCAGCAGCCTCCACTGAAGTGGAAGCAGCATTGGTCTATGCCAGAAAGAAGTGAGTGTAAAATCTTTGCTAAAGAGTTGAATATTACAGTTTCTGTGATGGTAAAGATCGTTTGCAATGGTCCTACTTCTTTCTACTCCCTTGTTGCAGTTTAGTGGTTCTTCAGCTTGGCAGTGCAGTTCCTGCATGGCTGTGTTTTAAACAGGGTCTCTGAAGTGCTTTGGGTTTTAAAATGAGTATGTCTAGAGTTCAGTGTAACCTAGAGCAATAGTATCAGTACACTAGGGATACAGACAAATGGCTGATGGGAATAAATTAAATAAAATATAGAGATTTATGCTTAATTTCGGTTTGCAGTTCTGCCTTCATTAAGCTAGATCTCCATATTAAGCATGAGGAACTTAAGTAATGTAATTTTGGACAATTACGTGATACTTAGGTGGGTAGTTCACAAATTACATGCTGTTTATTGTTCATCTGTGGGACCACTGAATTTGTCTCTAGTCAGTATGGATGGTCATATTTTCTTTGGGTTTTTTTCAGTTAAAAGTTTAACAAGAGTAAGAGAGATGTTTCTCTTCGAAAAATGGTGTAAGATAGGTATTCACCAGCTTTTGGGGCAAAAATCAATTAAAATGGCAAAATTTCCTAAAGACTATGTCCCAGCTTTCATAGATCTATACTGTGGTTCTGCTTCTATCCCACAGATGCGTAAGAATAGGTCCTCATGCAAAACATTGATATAGATAGGTGTAGTTAAATTATTTATAATATTTTCAATTATTTTCATCCACGTGTCTGTGCAGGCCCTTAACTGACACAGCCTAATTGTGATGCTTGAAAAGAAAATACTGGTGGCATAAATTTTCTTGCACTGCTTTTGTTGGCATGTTCATTGGAATATTCTTTAGATTAAGAGTCAGTCATGTTGCTGTCTAATTCTGCAAAAAGCAATAATAAGCAAGCAGGTATGTTAGTATAAGTAGGAAATTCTTAGTCTAGTTTTTGTTATTTCTGTCATTCCGTGGCCATTCTTAAGAAATCCTGTTGGAATGAATGCGTGAATTGCTAGAAATATTTCTCAGCTGACTGAGAATAAATACTTAAATTCTTCATATCTGAATTGCAGTACTTAATGTTTCTGCTTTAGCGCTAGGCTGTTGCCATCTAAATGACAAAAAGAGTTCTTAATAATCCTGCACCTTTTCAGACAACCTAGATTGGGCATCACATTTCTTGTTAATGGCTCACACAGACCTGAAGTGTGCAGCAAGAGAAAGCCAGATTCTGTAACGAGAACCATTCATGCCATCCAGTCTGTCAAATCATTCAGGGACTGCCTAGGTTTAGCACTCCAGCTGTGTGTGCCCATGGCTTAGTTGCCTGAATTATTCAGATAGGCAGATCTTCTGGAGTGTGAGAGGATGTCAAACTAGGGCTGTGATGGTCCATAAACATGAAGCTGTGCGTTGATAAAGCTTAGGCCACGGAATAGTAGGCAGTGCTCTTTCCTATTTTTAGCTATGGGAGGAATATATATTGTGACCATTTGTATGATCTTTTTTTTAAATATGTAAAATCTCAGTGTTAGTCTGAGCCTTAAAACTCAATAAAGCAGTAGGATGGAAAAATAAGTCTATGTTGAGGTTCTGGTTTCTCTCTCTCTCTGTTGGGTGTGTGTACTTTTGTGAGCTGTTTGAAATGCTTCTGAAAGAGCAACAGCTTTCTTTC